ATGCGTAATTCAGGTCTAAGGGGACTACCCTTATACTAATCTATCTATGATATGTGCGTCTTAAACCGACCTATTTGGCTTTCGATAGCTCTCTCTAATCAATTATATAGGTATGATAGCAATTCACCGACCCTTACTCCGGTAAACCAATACTTTTCCAAGAAAATTTGAAAGGAGAAAACCAGACTAAGCTACTGGCAGCACCCGCCAGACTAAAGAGCAGGAGACTGTGCCCTGAACCAGATGAACACAGGTCATAAAGATTACTTGCAGCAATCTTTTTTTATACATTGATAAATATAGGGATACCTAATAGCCTACTACTCTCTATTTGTACCGACTATCCGTGGCCCTTTCGCAATTCTGTCTCAAACAGGGCGACGGGCTATGGCTCTGTGGTGTGAATGGACAAAGGAGTGTCATGATATGTGTAATTCTGTGCAATTTCTTGGCTGCAGGTTGGTTACAAACTGAATTTTGTCTTTAGCATAGCGATATTATCGAAGCCAAGTAGTGCATTGTGGGATCTTTATTCCCATATTCCTTACCCCATCTCTTGACTGCTATCATAGCTGTTGCTCTGAGATACTCGAGTAACATTACGGAAGGCTGCATCTCTATTATGTGCTAGCGGTTGCCTTGCAGGGCACTATTCCCTGCTCTAATCCAACTAGAGGGAAAATTTCCCCAAAGGTAACCGGGGAAATGCAAGGACCCCCTGCAAACCATACCACCTGGGCTGGAAGGCATACTATATTTTCCCTCGAAACAAAAGAATCCACTTTCCAGCTGGATAAATTGGTCCCTATTGTACTCGAGTACTGTAGTGTTGCGCATGCCCGCTGACCCAGTGGTTGAGGCATCAAGGACCAGTTACCCCTACGAAAGACATAGTTCAATCCCTCTCATTGGCAATTATTTCCGAATGATTCACCATGTAACACACAAAATCCAGGAAGTCATGCCCCACGGGAACCGGGAGACAGAAAACCAAACCTTGATTAGCAATCCTGCGGGGCGGCAGGATCCGGCTCTTGACAATATAGTACACCCAATGGTGAGGTTTAGGATCGGTGGGATGGGAGGGGTGACACAAGCATGGATGGGAATAAACAAAAGCGAAGGAAAAAGTAATAAGAATGAGATAATAATTAGCAAGTATTTTGTTTTTTTCTCTTTTACCCCACTATTTCTGTACAACAACAGACAACTGCTGATTCTGCATTCTATAGACAATCCAGTACTAAAATAGTAGAAATTGCCTGTGCGGGTTGTCATTTAAGTTACAATTGCAAAACCACTTATCACACTCTATCAACCTGCTTGAAGAGGTCGAGTACGGATAACAACTAATAAAAGGTGTGATATATAGTACTATAATCGTTGTATCAAGACACAAGAATCTTCAAGAACTTAATTAAGTTAAGGTTTTTCGCTCTACTTGATCGCGGGGGGGGGGGGGAAGCAATTGGGGGCGGTTCCTTTCCAATTACAACCTTTTGGCAGCTCGTTCAAATGGATGCATGACACTATGAGGCATTGGGCAGAAGACGGAGACACCTGTCTGGGTTATGTAGTAATGCATTATCACAGGAAATCACTCGTGCCACCCCCTAATCCCAAATGTTGAGAAATAATCCCCCGACCCAACGCACGATACTGGGAGGGAGGGATGTGGAAGTTGGTATTCCACGTAATTGCTTGAGTCATCAAGATGGGGTATATATACACAATTCATGTCTCTCAGCTAGGTAGCGAACTCAATCAACAATCTTCCGCTGCAAGAAAAACCTTCAATTCCGAGATGGTTATGAGCACGGTAAGAAACTTTAGTTTCTAAACAAAAAGAGAAAAATATATTTTATTTTCACATTTCTCTTTTCTTAGAAAGCACTGACTTGTCTTCTCTACTGCTCTTACACTCTACTACCAATCAAAGCCATGCCTTTGGCCTTCGGCGCTCTCAACAATCTCGTGAGAGGAAATTACTGGTGTAAGTACGGTGGGACAGCTAAGATCAACCACCTCAACTTACTATGTAAACCAATGGTCATATTTTCTCTTTAGTGTTATGGTTCATAGTCTAATGTCTCCATTGTGGGCGCAAAAGAGCAGACAACTCTACGCCAGTGTTGGCAGATAGCCAGACCTCTCAATGTGGGAGATAGATAGGGAAGAGATAGAACTATAGGATTCGCTCGGAATATGGGCTCTATATAGGGAGGGTAGGGGAGGTGTGGTCAACAACTCAGTTCTCTCCTTCCACCACACTTTGTCATCCTCATCTAAACCAAACTGACTGTAAATATAGGTGTATAAATAAACAAAACCGGGGCATCCTTTCATGGATCACCACACCTACCTCTGTATCTCCACGCACGCCCCCGTTCCTCTGCGCACCCCCGTGATGACAGAGGAAAGATATGTCTGGAGAATTCCCCCCCAGAGATCACAAAGGCTCTGGAACAGCCCATCACGTTCCTAAACGATCCACCGACCCCGCAACTTCCAGAATCAACCGCAACCTTCCATCATCTATCCACAACCTCTAACAAGCCCGGCCTGTGGATAGCCTGCGGATACACAATCCGGCCATACTAGGTCAAAGTGAGACTGACCTAAGCTTTGCAGGCCCGGCTTTGCCAAGGCCTGGAGGCGTCATCGGTGCCTGACGGCGCAAGTAGGTTTTCGGTATATGCCATGTGGTTAGTAAATATCTTGTGGATGATTAACAGATATCTGAAGGTGCCTGTGAATCTCTTGATATTGAGAGTAGTGCAAATGCTGGGCAATTTCCTATCACTTTATATATTCCTAAAGTATTGGTAAATTGCTCGCACACCAATAACTATTATTTTATTATCAAGCGATTTTCTTCCACATCTTCAGTACCATTACGAACCGCGGAGGAGACCCAAGCTGGATCCATGATATTCTTACCCGCAATTCTGGGGGCCATATATGTATTTCAAAATCTAAATTGAGTGCTTACACCTGTCACCCCTGCGTATCCGGTATTGGATGATTGGTTTAGTTTGTTGTTTTTTCCTAGTTGACTATCCGGCGCAGGGTATTGGGTTTAGAGGTCGGTTCTTACCATACCAATGTCCTGTTCGGAGTGATTGTGGATTTTTTCGGAGGACTGATGGGTTGTCCGGGATGATAGTGGATTGTTCGTTTGCTTTCTCGGGGATTCTACCGAATTTCTGTCATTGCCGGAATACTTTCCACGCATTCCGTTCATTCGAGACTGTTTGTAGAACCCCTTTTGGTTTCCGGAGGTGTTAGTGTTTTGGAGATATATATATATCCCCCGGTATGCCTTCAACTAGCATCTTTATGGATAGTCTAACTCATCATTCCCTCATTTTCAGTTCTGCTTGGCCCATACTGATCTCACTCGCAGTGCTTCCCCACTAGCCCCGTGTTGTGTCCAGTATGATACCCGAAAATCCAAGGCGCGGTCTCGGCCGTCAAGACCTATTTCCGGAGACTACGAAAACGATTAGATGTGGGGCCCCTACCCATATTAGCCACTCGTCTGTTCAAACTATCGACCAAGTACCGGTGAACGGCCTAAATTTTCGACCGCATCGGTAACAGACTTCCTCTTCTCCAAATCCTATTCCCTAAATTCTAGGAACAAAGTAATCGACATGAAATTGCTGGGGAGTTGATGGCGGGTCTATACTGGTAGAATGACTAGTGCTCCATGCCACCAATCGCAGGTTGCAACAACCAGCTATTCGAGCGTACAGGTACAGTATGTTCGAACACAAGTGAGAGTGAATAAAACTACCAACTCCCCCTTACCGCAAGAGGCGCTGTCGGGGGTGCCGCCGTCCCCCTAACACAATGGACAAAGGACAAAGATCAATTGCCCTAGTGTAATGATCTATCATATTATGCCCCTAAATGAGTCCTCCGGAAGCAATTGTCTAGCGAGACTATATCCAGTGCCTGCAGCTGTCCCTCCCTAGTCCACATAGTTGACTGAACATCTGGGGTATTGGGGTCTCGCTGAAATCGAGTTTCTTTCAGAGGCATTTTTGAGCCAGCCTCAGCGTGTGAGGTGAGGCCCCCAGTGCCTGAGCGGGTATGGTACTATACGCTGTGGAGTACATGTGATCTTGAGGCCAACCCATACCAAAGAATATTGTCTGGAACTTTGGCGTACCGCTGACCCATAGTGCCGTTATATTGTGTAAGCGGCAAGGGAGTTGGCGAAAACATGGGCAAAAATAAACTTCCGATTACCAGAGAGGACTTGAGGTAGACGTAGAACCCAGGAGTGTTCTTCACCGAGCAGGAGGCAAGCGAAGCTACAGCAGGTCTCTAGAGAGGAAGGTTGAAAAGGTTCACATCGAATTCTGCGATCTGCTAAAGGTAATCAAAAGGTTAAAGTAGAATCTGAGCTCGGCTTGGAGAGGATCTGTCACGATATTAGTGGGTTTTTAGGTTGTTTTACCGGGGGTTGAGTAACACTGTTAATTCAAGTGCATGAAAACCTACAAGTACGAAAAGATAAATAAGGATTAAGTTTATTAATCTTACGACCGCGCATCATTGTGCGTTTGCTCTTGCCATGATATATCAGCTTTTCATCCACTGCCAGCGGCAATCTATATGATGAGGGTAGTAAGGTATTGGGACTACTACTGTAGTTGTCTTCGAGTCATCAATTTTCTTGGGAAGTGAGGAGTAAGTAAGGTAAATTAGGTATCATACTTCTGAGAGCTTTCTAAGGCTTAATTCAGTGCTCGAGTCGAGAAAAAAGTATCATGTGATCTCTTGTGTGAGGTCAGACAAACAAACCTTTATCAGTTGCTATGGTAACGGGTCTTGTTTGGAATAACAACCGCAGACCTCGCCCGCGTCTTCTCTTCTCCCCTAATCTAACAACCCCTCCATACCACTCATCATTGTTGCGAGCAATCCCTTACTTCGTGATATAACCGCACCTTGATATATTCCCCTGTTTCTCTTCTTTTTAGATCACCATGGCTGAGCCTCAACCTCGAAAATACCTTACTCGTGCAAGAGCAAAAGCAGAAGCCAATCCCACCGAGAGCAAACCAAGAAAGGCTCAGAGAACGTCTGAGAAGCGGAAGGCTCTCACGGAGGCTGCCAGCTCAAATGAATTCGAGCCACCGATTAGGGCTACAAGGGCCTCCAAGAGGACTGTTAAGACGCAGGATCCAGCTCCCCAACCAGCTCGTGGAGTGAAAGCCGCTCCGAAACGCAAGTCTGAGAAAACCGCTTCTATCACTACGAAGAAATCCACTTCAGCTACGGCCAAAGTGTCGAAAAAGGTGGCGTTTGTAGCTAGCCCTCAGAAATTTCTCGAGAACAAAGAGAATCTCATTCCCGTGCAGAAAGACAGCCATCTCGATACCGACGAACTCATGTCTTCATCAATGGGCGCACTATCAGTTAAGCCTATTCGAGTACCGGCCACCAAACTCCGGTTGCCAACCGTTACCCCCTCCACAGTTATCCTTGATCCGATACCCGCCCTATCTCCATCCAAGGCTCGACGAGCCCCTCTCTTGGGTCTAAAACTTCCGGACGACGGATCGGAAGATGAGCTGTCAAGTCCGCATTATCCAAAGCTAACAGCTAAGCCCAAACGAGTTGGTGGGACCGCAACCAAACCCGTTGGCATAGATTCAAACGAGAATAAGCCCCTTGATATCTCTGCTTTGATCTCTTCCCCGGCAAGGAGACCACCTGCATCGCCATCCCGACCTACAAAGGCCCACCTCTCAACGAAGGCATTGGAGCCATCGGGATTGCCTAGCTCGGCCTTGGCATCACCGGCTAGACGCCCTGTTCCTCGATCGATTCCTGGTTTCAGAGCTAGTCCGATCAAAGGTAGCTTCAAACTTGAGCCTCTCACAACCCTTAGTGCGATTGACCACCAGCCGCCGTCAAAGCTCGGGGCACAAAACCTCCCGAAAAGAGTCAAAGTTTCAAACTACGTGAAAGTAGATGGCGATCAGGATGAACTGGGAATGGACATCGAGACGAACCTATTGAGTCGCAAGGCCCCGCGCGCCGTCAGAATCAAATTGCTTGACCCCAAAGATCCTGAACAGGCAATGACGTTCCAGTGTGAGGATTCCTCTACCCTTTTTGACGAGATCATGTCGCCGGCAAAGAAGGAGCCTAGGCCCTTAGAAGCCAAGTCCTTAGACAAGATGTTTGAGGAAATTGAGTCGGAGAGGAGGGCAGTGTTTTCAATGACAACGACGAAGACTTCTACAACTCCCCCTACACCTCCACGAGGATTTGATTTTGAGAACTTGTTTGAGTCGAGCAATATATCTCCTACCCCTCTTCACAAAACCTCTCACACCAAGCTACAGAGAGTGCCAGAACCAGAAATCGATTTTGAGGGGGATATTACAATGGAAAATTCGGAGGATAACACGGAGACTATCCTTAAAAAGGAGCTGTCGCTCACCCCTTCGCGAGCGCCACAATGTAATAGGAAGCGCAGAGGCTTGAGTCAGGATGGTAGTTACGGGTTCTTCAATCTTGAGGATGATAAAGATGAGCTTCTCGGTGGTAATACTGGAACACCTTTCCCCCTTGACGGATCTTCCTGCTCTCCTATCTCGAAGGGCATCCCCCCGGTAGATTTGACGATGCGGCCCGAGCCCGAGAGGAGGACCTTATTCCCTGATGCTCAACCATCACAGAGCAGCGAAGTAGGCCATGATCTTGACTGGAACATCTTTGGCATTCCTATCGATCCTGAACTCCTCTTGACGCAAGAAGAATTCCTCGGAATCGTCGAAAGTCATGTTCGCAAGACCACGATCCCAGTCAACCTTCCCCCAGAAGACAGTGAAGCCGAGGGCTCAGATATGGAAATCGAAGACCAAGAAAACTTCCACCCTGCTCCCTACTCCCCAAACATCCAGCGGGATCCATCTCCCACGGTCCGCAACTCGCTACCAGCAACATCAAACCACTTCGCCCGCCGTAACAGCGGCATGGTGAGCCAGATGGGCGTTCTCGCTGGCGCAGTCGTATTCGTGGATGTATACACTGCCGACGGTGCCGATGCATCAGGACCGTACGTACATGCTCTCCGTGGTCTTGGGGCGCGAGTTCTAAAGGCATGGAATTGGAATCCAGACGGTGGGAACAAGGACAAGATCGGAATCACACATGTAGTCTTTAAAGAAGGCAGCCCTCGCACTCTTCAGAAGGTGAAGGACAGCAAAGGTGTTGTCATATGTGTCGGCGTCGGCTGGGTTATACAATGCCAGAGCGAACAGGAGTGGATGGACGAAAGTCAATTTGCCGTCGACTTAGATATAATTCCGCGAGGTGGACACAGGGTTTGTCCTACCATTTTCGCTAGATATTGTTACCATAAACGCTAATTTATCACAGCGCCGTAAGTCCATGGAGCCGAAAGCCCTCGCAGCGCTCTCCGAGCCGAAGACTCCACAAGCTCCGAAGAAGGACGCATTCTCGCTCTTATCGCGTGTTCCCGCGCAGACTGAACCAAAGAATCCGTTCTTGGCAAAGAACTTGCTCATCGCGCGGAGAAAGAGTATGCAATTCTTGCCCAAGATCGGAAGCCCGCTTTCCAGGAAGCCGTTGTCTGTGGAGTACTAGGCGCGTTCTACAAACTAATAGGGGCTGGTGGTGGTGGTGGTGGTGGTGTTTAAAGAGAGAGTTGGGTGGGGACGTGCTTGCTTCTCTTGAATGAAGCCTTGCAATGAGTATTATGGTCTCTTACTACTTTGGGAGAAAGCGGTATTTGCTCCGGAAGGCTTATTATCATACGCTTTGTAGTAAATATGTTGGCCTTTGAGGCCACTAATGGGGTTTTTGTATGGTAGTTTTTCTTTCTTTTTTTCCCCCTGTCCCACCCATTTCCTCCCCGTGGCGATTGGCGATTTTTTCATTTGTGATATGAGCGCGGATGTTCTGGGACGTATATTCTTTCCAGAAACTACTTTTTTCATGTTTACCTGGAGTATGTCGCTTATTATGTATGCGTTAGAGATGTTGTTCGGATTCCTTTCTCTACCTGGTAGACTTATCAACCAATTATGCAGTACGCCGATGAGCTCGTTATTTCCAATAATCTATTCGAATTTGGATTAGGGCCGATTGCTATTGGCTGGGTCTCACGAGCGATGGTTATTGATTGAAAGTACAGCACAGTGTATTGATTTGTGGTGCTAGTAAAAGACAAGAGTTCTAGAATAGTCACTTCACACCGCAGGCAATAATATATACCTTGAGTTAGCTACGCTTCCACTTGGGAATATCCATGGATTTGGCAAATTTGAAGTGACCTCCCCAGAGCCATTGCCATCAACCCATGACACCCAGCTTTAGAGTCGGGCACAATGCCCCGAACGGAATTACCAGAAGTCAGGAATACTCCAGCACTCCTACCGGTATGTCATGCAGTTATCAATGGATTGGTGCCTTCCCGAATCCGGTCTTACTCTTAGCAAAAACTAACCTTTTTCATCACCGATATTCTGGTTGCGATTACCCCGCCGCACATGAAAGGACTGTGGTTAGCTGTCAGTGAGCAGTCTCTATATTTCCCCCTCCCCTGAGGGCGTACCATACCCACATTTACAATGCATTCAATGTTCAACAACACAATACCGCTAGCCTTAACTCCAGGCGACAAAAAGCCCAATTACACCAGTCAGCAAGATAAGCATTTGCTCCCATTTCAACATCATAATTTTTCGATATCATTTGGTCGACACCCACCAGCGTAGTGGTTAAGATATCTGGAACCCATGAGTTTCCTATAAGTCCGTAGGTTACCTGGAAGTGACACTACAACAGGCAACGTCGGAGGTCGAGAGTTCGAAGTGGGTGGCCGGTGATAAACCTATAGTTAAGACAAATTGAGAGCGGTGTGTGGAGAGAGGTAGAAATGACGGAAGATTTGTTTCTAGTGTTTGGGACAAGCCTAGACGGACAATTGGCTTGTCTTGCACGACCAACAGGGCCGAACAGGCCAAAAGACGACACCCAAGGCTCAATGCTTTACGAGTGTCATGTATAATCACTCGCAACGGGTAAAGAATTTCGGTGCCGACCCGCTTTGCCAAAGAGTAGGTTTTCTTTTTCCTTCTATTACCCCCGCTCCTATTGGACCACCGGCAGTGGTTTTCCGGCCACTTGTTGTACAGCCATTAGGCAAAAAGTCTTTAGTGAATCGGGTTTTCTCTTGGAATCCTTCCTTGGCGGGTCCATGCTTCACACATATCATAAATTGTGCAATACGGCCCTCTCCGCCTACAAAACCTCGACCTCTGATATGATAGAGTACGGTTCCGTTTCAACAAGGCTTTTCGCCCAGTCAGTGTATCTCCCTATTTTTTATCTTTATTTTTTTTCAACGCTATGTTCAGATATCGTGCGCCCCCTCATCCTTTATGGCGAAATAAAATTGCAAACCCAATATCCCAAAACCCCCCCCCCTTCCTTCCCTCACGCTTCAGTAGTGGCCTACCACAGCACGTTAGCTTCCGTAACCCCCGGCAGTACTCGCCATGATACCTATGATACGCCTCTGGGTGGGGCTAGCACTCATGTTTGCACCATATATCCGCTAGGGCTCGGGGGGAGCTCAAGCCAGACTTGAGGAAATAATTTTAAAACAAAATCTCGAGCAAGCCAAGCTCGTGCCAAAAGCTTAAGGCCCTGTTTGGTACGCCAGGATTTGGCTGGGATTTAGACTTAACATCCGGACTTGAAAACCAAAGTCCGGAAACTTGAAAGCACGGACCTTGGAAACCGACCATACCAAACACGACAGGATTATGGTTCAGATTTTGATCAATTGGTAGTGGTTTGTGTATCAGGTGCAAATCTCTCGAGATAAGAGCAATGGGGAGCCAGTGGCTGAGCAGGAGTAATAACATCATAAACAAAAAAATAGGACTGTTGGTCCTTAGGGTTGGATTTCTGTGACTTAGTTGTTCTGAGAAAATCCTGATCCAAACTCCTAGTCTAATCCTGGTATATGTTACCAAACACAACTGGACTTAAAGTCCGGACTTATGGCATAATCCGGAATTTTAAGTCTAATTCTGGCGTACCAAACAGGGCGTAACTCACCCCCCTTTCTTAGCGCAAAGGCGCCAGCCATAGTCCTTCTGGCAGTTATGAGAGAACTCTACATGAATCTACACAATTCCAGACAATCTCGGAATTTCTAAGAGATATAGGAATAGGTCGAACATGCTTTCACAGCAAACAACACTCTCGGCTCACGACAGCATCTACCAAGAGTGATATACCATGATCACCACTGACGCCCACAATGTCTATTCCCAGGAACCTATACAAAGAAAAACCCCGACTAATCCTCAGAAACCCATACAATTGCATTCGCGAGAAAAAGAAAGAAAGGGGAAGGGGAAGGGGAAAAAAAAGTAATTTAGAACCCCGCCCTTCGCGCCTCCGCGTTATCTAGTCCTCGCTTCTCGGTGTTGGCGATTATCTCTGGTCCCTTGACCTTCTTGAGCTTTTCTTCAAACTTTTCGAATTCACGGACGGCTACTTCCTCTTCTGGGTCCATTATTTGCTGGACCGATTGGACTTCCTCGATCTATTGTTTGGTGGGTCAGCAAGGGAGGGAGGGTAGAAATAGGAGGGTGAGCGTGCGCGGGGGGGGGTACATAGTGCATAAGCATAGATTCAATTCCGTTCTTCAGTGTTACCGTCGAAGAGTCGCATGTTCTGCAGGCGCCTCTGAGTTTCAACTTAACAACGCCGTTCTCGAAGCCGCGGTATTCGATGTCTCCACCATCTGCTCATATATAAATTAGCACCAGTCCACTCATGCCCAAAGGAGATGCAAAAGAACACCCACCTTCTTGAATAGCCGGCCGAATCCTCGTCTCCAACAACTCCTTGATCATCCCAACCACCTCCGAATCTCCCTCCTCCCTCTGAGTATCGCTGCTCTCCATAGTGCCCTCAAGTATAACCGGCTCCCCGCTATTCAACGCCTCAGTGATAAGGCTATAAACCTCCGCCTTCAGAAAAGCCCACTGGGTCTCCTCATCCTTGGTAATGGTGATAAAGTCCGGGCCATAGAACACACTACGAACTCCATCGACGGCAAACAGCTTCCGAGCAAGCGGGGAGTTGTGGGTCTCGCGGCCGTCAATGTACTCCTGTGACTGGCAACCCTCCGGTAGGACCGGGAGGCCAGGAATGAATTTTAGCGCGGATGGGTTGGGCGTCGACTCGGTTTGGATGAAGAGTGTGCGCTTGGGGTTTCGGAGGATATGGGATGTGCGTGGGACGGTGGGGCGGTAGAGAGCGTGAAATTGGCGCACGGGCAAGAGGACAAAGTGAGGTCGGGGTCGGAGGAATAGTCTTGTGAGAAGCATTCGCGAAGACATGGCCGTTTGTCTATCTATTTATTTGTTTCAGAGGTGGTAAGCGGTGGTTGTGGTGAACCTGGTTTTTCTGGGGCGAAGAAGTGGGAGAGGTTTGTGAAGGCAAGTCTCCCAAAGTTCTTGCTTGAAGGGTTTGATAAGTTATGATATGACGAAATTTGTAAGCGGTGGCAACAAGCAGCCCAAGCAACTTCGACCACCAACAAACACTACAATGTCATGAACTCTTCAACCACGCAACATGGCGGTATGCGGAATCTGTCGAGAGGCCGAATCGAAATATAAATGCCCTTCTTGTAAAGTTCCATAGTATGTTCCCCTACCCAATCCCTCCCTTCTTCTCCGCACCTGGCCACATACTAACATGTATAGCTGCTCTCTCGCATGCTACAAGCCGCACAAAGCTGAACATGAAGCAAATCCCTTGCCGCCACCGCCGCCAGAACCCCCCGCCGCTACCACTATCATTCCCGAAATAAGGCCCGAAGACAAAAGCCCCTTTTCCCCACTCTTAACAACACCCCTAACTCCCACGCTCCGAAAGCACCTCCTCTCAATCCACGCCGCAACCAAGAAGCCCATACACAACCCTAACTCAAGCTACCGTGGTCGCGGTGGTGGCAGGGGCAGAGGTGGAGGTAGAGGTGGACACGAAACCCGCGAGCGAGAATGGACTGAAGAGCAGGAAACTAAAGCTGCTATTGAAAAGCTCCGGATGCTCCGGGAGGAGGGTAATGAAGAGATTGAGGAATTCGTGCAGATGGTAGTCGGTTTGGTAGAGAAGGATCAGGGTGACACTCTTCAAAAGAGGTGAATCTGGGTGCGCGTGTTGGCTAGTTTGAAGGGGGGTCTGATGTGCTATGGATTTTTTTTTCCTTCATTTTTTTCTGCCGGGCGGTGCGGATACCGCACCATCTCGTGTGGTCCATTCCCCCCTTCCTTCCAGACCCCCGCCCGAGCCCGAGGGAGAGCCCGTAATTGTGGTTTATCGCAGTAGTTTTTTTTTGAGAGGCAGGGGACCGCTTGGCTCGCTATCAAGTATTGGTGGTGTAATACTAGGTGAACTGCTGTGGGCTCCTGAGCAGCGAGCATTCATGTGTCCCCTTCCCTTCACCTCCATGTCATGCATAATGCTTGCGATTAGCTCCAACAAAAGCACCATATTCTTATGGGTGATATCAAATCACACTGCCTCATATATTCCACAAGATACCAATAGTATCTAAACAATGTCTCAAATCTCTGTTAAGGCAGTGCGACAGGGTTCCTACAGTATTCATTTTGGAAACTACCTGCCACATACCAGTATGGAGTATGGAGGTACAAGTACTAGTATCGCACTCACTGGCTGTAAAAAGCAAGAATGGCCGAAATAATCCTATCCGATAGGCAAGATCTCATGAGATATTGTTAAGATTCCAGGGGGGGGTCGCAATTTCTCCAGCCCCCCGCGAGGGCCGGTGCTAGACTGGGAATCTCTCGGGTGCTTGTTGTGCAATGCCTTCTACCGGTATTGTCATCTTAGATAAGGGTGTGGTGTATCTTGGGAATGGAGCGTTGCATGGGATTACGTTCTTGACGGTGTATGTAAATTTAGAGCCATCACAGAAGGCTTGTGGGTGGCACTTTCCAGATGTGCTACGGGATAGGCGGAGGTGTGAAGTTGGCCTACCTCTTGGACGTACAATACTGCCGCAGGGGCGCGTATGCCGGCTCGATGGTCCCCCCGTAGCTGCCTGCGATAAAAACTATTGGATTGTGTCTGTCGATTTGCACATTATATCCCAACAGGCGGACAAAGGTACTAACTTATGCATGTATGTGAGCTTAACCCATGTTACTCCGCTAGCAAACTCATGGTTTGACTCGATCAGTGCCAAAGCGTTCGATGTTTCCCAGCGAGTGGAGGGGAATCACCGGTGAGCATAAGAAACTTAAGACCGCGAAGGGAAAACGGCATAACAAGGCGATTGAAGTTCGGAATTGGAGGTTTTTCTTTGCAGCGGAAAATCGTTGATTTAAGTTCTCTACCTAGCTAAGAGAGACATGAATGGTGTCCATATACCCAATCTCGTGGAATGTCAACCTCCGCATCCACTCTCATATTCGCATTAGTGAGCAGGAAGCTCGCTTCCCGGGTTCATAACCTGTTGTAATTCTTAATTGAAGTTGTACTTCTTACTTTATTGATACTCTACCGGTGGGCTATCGGGCCCTACTTATGCTACGGGAGAGCATGCTGCAACTACCTATAACATATACCTTGTGTGAGAGAAAAAGAAAAACAAGAACAAAAATACAAGGTAGCCGAGCTGTAAAGAGAAAGGAAACACGAGCGAGATAATCAAACTATTATAGTACCACGATAGAGTTTCCAAGAAAACTCTGTGGTAGTCAACCGCGTAATGAGCTCAATCGCATAATGAACCCATATCAAAATATTCTGTCATAGTCAATGACAAAACCGATGCATATTTGGAAGTCATATTACAACAATTGATAGGGCTAATTAAACGAGTGATTTCTTGTGAAAAAGGATTTCTTGTCTCTCTGGAGTGGTTGGGTTCCTGTTGATACTTACCAATACTATGTACGGTTCTGCGATATTGGGCTTTTAGTTGTCTGAGGTTAAAGGCAATGGTGTTTATGTTCTTGAATGCTGGATGCATTATGGGGGTAGTCTAGATGCATCGTCGTAGTGAAGGAAGAGAGATTATGAACATTGATCACTGATAACTAACGGCAAAACTCCTTCGTGCGTAAAGGAACAAGCAAAGCCGGAATATCAGGAGCGAAAAGGGTAGGTCCGGTTGTAAACAAGCAAGGAAAGATTTGGAGGGGCTTCTGAATCCCAGAAGCGCTGCGGGGGGTGATCAAGTATCATACTCGTACAGTGAAAATTATAATAGTTTAGAATCTCGTTGGGATGTCCCCCCCCTAGTAAGGTCTGTTGAATCATATTTTCTTTTAGCTTGTCCCAACTCAGAGCGGAAGAGAACCTTTCTGCTGCGTTTTCTCCCCTTGGCTAAAGGGGGAATTCTCGACATCCGGCGTCATTCTCAATTATTCCACAGTGCTCTATCCACACATTGGTAAGTGCACAGCATAGTACACAAAAGAGCACTACGGAACGGTATTCCTGACTTGCGATAGTCTCGCGGAGGGCATTGCCTCTGACTCTTGGGTCAGGGCGTCACGAGCGTGCCTCCCGCACCGGGAGTTTAACCATTTCCTCTCGATCACAAAATCCTACTCGAACAGATTTACCTTGATACAGAGAATCAAAGACCTCAGCGCATCAGGTGGTGCTGCGCTCAACTCCTTCATATTGGCGGGAAAAAAATCAACTCCCCCCGGCCCATCTCCGAATTTCCTCCTTCCAATACCAGACCATCCCCATTCCATCCGATCACCCGCACCACTTCAATTACCCGAATCCATTTATACCCCAACTATCTACAATCTCCAGCCTTAGGTTAAAAACAACAGACGCTTAATAAAAGTTAGAAAAGGAAGCAAAGTGAAGGAAGGAAGCGAAACAGAAACAAGAACGGCTCTAGCCCTATGATATCGGTTATTTCGAAGGGACCAGCAAGCCAAAGGGGATGAGAATTAAAGACATTTACTCGTATAAGCTTAAGTGAGGGATAAAAGGAAGAGAGGAAAGATAAAATGTACTTTCAAAAAAGACCCGGCTTTTTCCCCCTAGAAAAAAGGCATCGTACCCACCAGCCGAGCTAAGAACGGAGAGCTCAAAATACAAGAAATAAATAGGAACCGCCACTCTTATGCTTCGGCAACCAGCCGGTCAGCTACCATTTCGCACCGTAAAAGAAACAAAACAAATCCGCCATAATTGCCAAATATGAGTCACACACGCAGCTAACTGAGAAAACTATGCCTTTTCGCCGAAAACAATGGCACAGTCTTCTACTACATGGACTTGATCCTGTCACGACCCTGTCTCCCCTGCTGCTGCTGCTGCTGTTGGCTTGTATCCGAGCCATCGGTTCTGTTATTCCTGGCGAAAACTGGCTGAGTTTCTGGGTTCCTCCCACGCACCCATTGTCCCCTGGGCTGCACCGTTCTGCTGCTGCTGGGCCATTATACTCTGTCTGAAGGGGTTTGTCACACTCGTACCTGTTGCGTTGACAGGCACTGTCAATCCAGTTCCAGCACTCGACACACTCCTTGCAAAGGGATTAGTCCCTGTGGGCATTGAGCGCACTGTGGGTTGCGCCGATATTGGCATTGCCTGAGGGTATGCAGATGTAGATTGCGTTGAAATAGGATATGCGGAGGGAGGAGATGTCGGAGACAAATTAGTGGGTGATGCTTGTCTCGCAAACGGATTTGTAGATTTAGGCTGTGCGGACACGGGTGGTGATGTTGCGTAGAGAGATGGAGCTGTTGAGACAGACCCGGTCATCATCATTGATTGCCGAAATGGATTGGTATCTGTCGCACCAGTGGACAAACTAACGGCAGGAGAAAGAGACTGCTGCTGCTGCTGGGGTTGATGCTGGGGCTGCTGATAGTTAGGTTGTTGGATGGGTTGGTTGAATCGTTGCGGGACCGTAGACATTAAGGGGGCAGTTACAGAATTTTGATCTGATGGAGTATAGCCTCCAAACCCTGCTCCGGTAAAGCTTGTCTGTATCTGTTGAGGTGTTTGTTGTATGGCCGGCAGGTTGTTCGTTTGAATAATTGGGGGGAGGGGTTGTTGCTGGGCAACTTGGTTGTAGGGGTTCTGCGCTTGGTAACCAGTTGCAAACGTGGGCCCTGTTTGTGTAGGGAACTGTTGCGGAGGTGCCACAAAAGGTTGTTGGGGCGCAGACTGCTGCTGCATTTGAGCACCAAACGCAGAGTCTACCTGGGCTTGTTGAGCAAATTGATTCTGAGGTTGAGGCATCTGTATTTGTTGCCCATTAGTGGGTTGATTGCTAAACATGTGAGTCTGCTCCGACTCAATTGACTCAAAGAAATCGATGAGATCTGGGGCGACAGGCTTCGGCTGGGCTTGCTCGGGCACTGGGTTGGCAGGAGTGGGACTCGGGAAGCGTTGCGCTGCTGAGGTTTTGGGTTGTTGCCCTGGTGGTGGCGATTTTGGCTTTGCAGCGGGAACAGGCTTCCCACTCTTCTTCGCTTCTTGCTGAGCGAGATACTGTCGCCTATTGACATCAAAATCTGGATCATGAAGATATTCTTCCAATGAAGATGTGAGACTGGTTGGTGCGTGCTTCAAGTTGGGGATCTGAAGGCGGGTCGCCGTTTCTACTCCCCGGGCTTGCTGCAGATATTCGACGACGTCAGCCGTTTGCTTGGTGAACGTCTTGTAGATCTCTAAGGCTCTTTCGGCGTCGTAACGTGACATCTCGAAATAGTGTTCTGATAACGTATTAGTTAAGGAAATGTCTGGGGGAGGGTCTGAAAGGAAAGCCCACCAAGAACATTGATGACACCTTCATTCACGACATGGAACAGAACTAAAAGGTCCATAACCAACAATCGGAAGGCCAGAAGAGAAATTTCGTTATCGACATCATCATCGAGGAACTATACGGGATTGTCTTGTCAGCCCACCAAACACCGCCGGGAGAGGCATGTAACCCAGCAAAAATACAGCATAGAAAGGTAATAATCCTACCGTACACTTCAATAGTGCCCTGATTTGGGTCTGGACACACTCGACCTCTCTCAAAAGCCCCTTCTCAATGCTCAACTTCCTAAGTCTTCCCTCACCACTGCGAACATAGTCCGTCCTCACATCTCCATAAGTTCTGGCCCTCTCCAACAAGTACTGTGAGTAGTGACGGATGTTTCGCCCTTGCTCCTGGGCTACAATGTGCAAAATAGTTAGAATCTTCAGTATTCAATATTGCAAAGACCGTATATCGATTGGGACAAATTCTCACCATCCGAGTAATGACTGACGGTTATTAATCGGGGGTGCTTGCGAAGGTAACGGAGAGTTACTTCTCGCTCCCCTTCGCGTATCATTAGATGAACGATGATGAGCGACTTGAAAACAATCTGTGTAGATAGTAGGTTAGCCCAAGGATGCGATCCGGTGGGCACAAGAGACTAACCGTCCACGTTTGGTCTTTAACTCTGTTATTGAGCGCTCGAAAGACCTCTGCAATTCCGGCTTCTCCTGCATGAGTCGCGATAAGGATGTGTTCAACATATTTCGATTTTGGAGCTGCAAGCTTGACTTTGGTGGCACCCTATTTACTCCAGTCAGAAGCAGTCCTACATTATTTAAATTTTGCCCACTATCCACTCCGGTCTGATTCCACCAGCGCTCTCCTCGAGCCACTATAAACCAAACAACGCCAGACGCAACAATTGAACGGAGCTTAACACATGCCTTCACCGATTTCTCAAAAGAAGCCGCCATGGAGCCGCTTCCGTTAGCCTCGACGTCCTTACGTCGACGTCCCAAAAAATTTATCCTCCCCACTTTGATATTGTCGAGCGGGAGACTCGCAACGTAGCAGAGACTTCTTGCCGGAGGATCCGCCTTTTCTCTTTAAAGTATTGCTACCCTTTGTTCTCGCTTCGGTTCTTCCTAGAACGTCGATGTACTCCTATTATCAAAATAACGTGGTTGTTATTTTTTTTTGTTTTCTCCCTATCCTTCCGGATGGACGGTCGGTTGGAGAGGTTGTGTTTCAGGTGTAAACTCGGGAAGGTTCTGGAGCTCACTCGGTGGACCAGGAAGGAAAAGGAATGGAGGAACGGGAAGAAGCTAGTAATGATCTGCCAACGGTGGATGATGGATTCAATTACACAGGCAACGAGTATGTGGAATAAAGCTTGATCCGTTCGTTGTTATTGTTTCCCTCACTTTTAGGCAGTTAGTGAGGAGTAGACTGATGTGGTAGATCCCAGTTCGCGGAAAACCAGCTCTCCTGAGGCTCTTTCGACAGGCTTGACAATAGTAAGGGAAAAGTCTTCTGTGGGGGTGCTTCACGGCCGATGAAATATTCGTGCTTTTGATGGAGTATGGACCCACCCGGGTATCCGTGAGGGTTAGGTTGGGGTTGGGGGGAGTATATGTGTAGGTATGGAGGATTGCTACGGCAGGGAGGGGTTTTTTTCTTTTTCCGCAGGGGGAAAGACCTTCAACTAGATGAATCTTGCCTTTTTTCCCCTTCTCGTCCCGGCTAGAGGGTAGCAGATAGCATATGCGAAGGCCGCGAGATTGGGGTAGCAGGATCAATTAAAACGTTGAGAGATTGATAGGAGGGGGTGCAGGAGCAAGGTAAATACAAGATTCAGGGTGAGAAAGAAAGCGGAGCAAAGCGAAGTCCAGATGGGGGAACGAAGGGCCCGCCACCAGTTGGGGGGGTGATGATGATGAGTTTTTGAGGCGTTTACTGCTTGCGATGATTTGATTGATTTGATTGATTATCGATTGAAGATTCATTGACAGATTCCGAGTCGTCCACCCTCCTTATGCTGGTTGCGACTTGCACTGCTGTCAATTGTGGCTGGTGAGTGGAGAGGGGAATCTTTGAGTGGAGAAACAAATACAGAAATGGAAGAGGGAGCAATGATACTGTGGCTGTGCACAGTTCTGATGGGGATTTTTGGGACGAGCTTCACCACTTTAATTGGAGAGAATTATCCAACAGATGACCAGCGAATAGAAGCCAACTATCGTAGAGAATATCTAACTTATGTGAAGATAAAGTAGACAAAAGTGTCTCGCGCGGGATGAACCATAGATTTGTTCAATCTCGATATGATTTGCTGGGGTCTGAGACGAAAAGTATATCTTCCATCTCACCTCCCCTTAATTCTGTGCGAGTGCAAGTTTTTTCTCTCGCAATCGATATACTGAGCCAAAGGATTTCTCGCCTAGGACTCCACCTGTTCTGCGAGAATAAGATCCCAGCTGTCCTAATGAGCCTGTGGGAAAGGGAGCCATTCACGCTATAGAGGCAGTATAATAGAAATAAAATAAAAAAACAGCGAGTAGAGATGGTGAAAGGAAATAGATAATCCAATTTTGCTTCCACCTTCGTTCTCGTTCGCTGGTTGCCATAGTGGATATCCACAATATTTGAACAAGAAAAAAACCCAAAATCGAAATTTATCCTTCCATGTTTCAAGATCAGAGATGCCTGTAGCGTCCGATTGTTTAACAAGGTAAGGTGTGCTCGAACGCCTATATCATGGTTTCCCCATGGTCATCTCAACCAACCCTTGAGCCAGCCTGTGAGAGTAGGCGGAGAGCGCGATTGGAACAAACCAGGAGCAACCGATCATAGACTGCACGCTAAGCTTTCATCATCTAAAGAAGCGATAATTATTAGCAACGGATCGCATTTATAGAATCGTGGAAGTTTGTACTCACTTGATAAAACTTGGAAGGATGGGGTGAAGGCTCACTCCCGAGGGATCCCTTTTATACCCAATAATTTTGACCGCGCTTAGTCATCTTCAGGGTCAGAAAACCCTTACAACAGGGTGCCAAGGAGGCCCAGCTCCCATCACGATAAATCTTGCGAATTTTATGCTTACCTTCGGCTCCACTATATCGAATCGTCATTTGTCATGATGCTGCCACAAGTTACTCTTTCGCGGATATGCCTTCAGTGCCGAATGCACATATTTTCGAACGGTTTCCGTTTGATGTCAATTCCCCGTCACGTCCGGACGTGTTTGCCAAATTCGACATCGGATCTGTGGGGTGAGAAATCGATGGTGAGATACAGAAAATTTTCGACTGAAAATGCGACCCCCGAGAACAGTAAACAAGATCCGCTTCAGGGAGAGGCTGCGCCGTCCGAATCTGAGTTTCCTACTCTAGAAAGTGCTGCTCTATCGGGAGCTGTCTTTACGTCGGAACCTACTGCTCCCGAAGCCACTACCGAGCAAACTGCTTCCGCATCCGAAACTTCTCCTAAGGAAGTCACTTCTACCTTAGGGACTGCCTCTACTCTGGAAACCTCTCCTTCGCCGGAACCTGCCTCCACAGAATGCTCCTCTATGTGTGCAACTGCCTCAACGCCGGGGGCCGCTCCACCTACAGAATCTCCGCCGTTGAATGGGACACGATTGGATGAGACATCGTCGAATGAAGCCCCATCGACTAGAATACCTTCTACAATTTCAAACGCTAGCGATTTCCTAGCCACCCGGCGTTTCGTAGATGAAGATGCGGAGAAGCCCCCCCGGCCTCCTATTGATATCAAAGCAAGGGAGAAAGAAGTCCTAAAAACCTATCGAATTTTGCTGAGAGATACCAAAGCTGAGGTCGAGCTTGACGAAGTCATGAAAGTAGCAACCACTGAACCCTCACCTCCACCACCGGGATGTGACGGAAACTGGGGAAGGAGGCCATCCGAGCTCGTTCCACCCCATCTCCTAGACGCAGAAATGAAGTGTGATTTTCCCCCTCCCTGGCACCAAAGGAACATATAACTTACAGTCCACAACAGTCAAATTTCCCGCAGCCACTCACCGGGTAGCAAATATAGATGGGCAGCTCATGGGTGAGGAGGTTGTGCTTCATGGATACTTCGGCCCCGTGCGAAAGGCTGGGAAATTTCTCTATTTTTCTTTCTTCCACGACTATTCCTCCGACCCCCCACGTCCACTTAAGGTGGTTTCTGTCATTGATTCTCTATCGCCTCAAATTACCAAAGCTGCCCATCAAACACTTGGGTCCCTCCATCGGTTTACACCTGTGGCCCTCCGAGCAATAGTATACAAGTGTGCGCCTCCAAAGTCCCCAGAAAAAAGGAAATCCGATGAAGAAGTCGAGCTCCGAGTCAAAGAGATTATCCCTCTCAATTCGGTGTCAGAAAACTTGATTTATACCGCAAAGACAATTTTTCCACCGGAGAAACGTCACCTACAACTCAGGACTACTAAAGAGCTATGTATAGCCTTGCGCCTTCGCTCACGTACGGCGTCTGAATGCCGCAAGTTTCTTGAAGAGAATGATTTTCTTGAAGTCGAGACACCGTTGTTGTTTAAATCTACCCCTGAGGGTGCCCGAGAATTCCTTGTACCTACAAGGAAGGGAGACGGCACATGTTACGCTTTACCTCAGTCACCTCAGCAATACAAGCAAATTTTGATGGCTAGCGGTGTTCCTCGTTATTACCAGCTTGCTAAGTGTTTCAGGGACGAAGACTTGAGAGCAGACCGACAACCAGAATTTACACAACTTGACCTAGAAATGTCATTTGCCACATCAGACGACGTGATGGATTTGGTTGAGGGATTGGTAATAAGAATATGGAAAAATGTCTTAGATGTTTGTGTTGGTCCTGGATTCAAACGAGTACCATACTGGTGGGCGATGAAGAATTACGGCACAGATAAACCTGACTTTAGATATCCGAATCATAGAGTAAGCTCGATATCCTCTACTTATTTTATTCTACTAACTAAGAGGCAGATTAAAAACCTCCATGAGGTTCTTCCATACCTAGCTAAGGGAGACAGATTTGTGGAAGGGTTTGCATTTTACGGAAATACACCCAACTACAACATGGACCATGCTATAGAGTTTCTAGAAAAGTTCAAGAGAGAAAATCTGAGCACAAGAGACGATAACTACGTTGCCTATATCGCTGGTGCTGGAAACGAAACTCAAGCCTACATCGAAGGCGGGATGGAATTGTGGCGCGATGCAGATTTAGCAAATATCCACGGGGCGCTGTGGGTACATCGACCCGGCGCAATAGTTGTGATTAAAGAACGTCGTGGCTACTACTCCGTAACCTCCCCTCCCTCTCCATTCAAGCCAGCGCTGACTCTACTAGGGTGGGAATACTAAACTCGGTCTTCTAAGAAGTGCGCTTCTAAACAAAGCCATTGAACAAAAGTTCATATCGAGCCGAAGTGACTATGCATTTGTTTGGGTTATCGACTTCCCCCTCTTCTCTCCAACTAGCGCCGACGATCCCGGTCAATCCGGAAGAGCCCCCTTCTCATCAACCCACCATCCCTTCACGGCCCCTATCGCAGAAGACATCCAGCTCCTGGGATCATCGCCACATCGTGTGCGCGCCGAGCACTACGACTTAGTTGTCAATGGAACAGAACTCGGCGGGGGCAGCAGGCGCATCCACGAGGCAGCACTGCAGAAATATATACTGGAGAAAGTGCTCAAGATGCCCCGGGAAAAGCTGCAGCAATTCGATCACTTACTGGAGGTCCTCGACAGTGGGTGCCCCCCGCATGCGGGTATCGCTTTGGGCTTCGATAGGTTGATTGCGGTGATGATGGGCCGCGATAGCATTCGGGATGTCATTGCGTTCCCGAAGAACTCTAAGGGTGCGGACGTAATGGTTGGGTCACCCAGCGTGGTTCCGGATAAGGAGTTACAGGCATATGGGCTTCGAAGGAGCTAAGCCTATTAGGCCACAAAGAACGGAAGGGGAGGAGTCAATTGCCTGTATAATACACTACATATGTACTCACCATGTACTTTTTAGATTCAATTAGGGTGGGGGGGGAAATGCAGATTTCAGAGAGGGGGATTATTTCGCTATCATAGAATCTCACTCGACGGTATTTACACCTCCGGTATGTGGACTTTGGAGCATACAGTAGGGAGGAACAACGAACAGTAGGCGAAATTTAACGCTTGCCGCCGGATGTTTGGTCTATTGTTCGCTGTCCCCTCTGTTCGTTGTCCCCCCTCTATCACCACCTACAGTATGACTTTTTGCCCCAGACCTATTACGATGGCGATATAATAATTACCGCTTGTATTCTATCTCACACGGCATGGCGTGGATTGTGATGTGGTGTTGTCCAAATGGGATGGGGCCGGCTGGAGTCTTTGATGGCGCGCTCTGATGGTATTTTTCGGGTTCGAGTTGGTGCTTGTATGCTGGAAGTTATCACTTCTAGGTAGGTAGGTAGGTGGGTAGACGTGGTACGGTGCAGAGCGTGGTGCGGTTATTAGAATTCTGATGCCTCTGATGGGGTCCACTCCGGGGAGGTTTGGACAGGACGGTGCTGCAGACCAGTTCATGAGGAAAACGCTCAAGCTAATCATTAGCAATGCTAGAAACCCGCTATTATGCTAGTGGGTGCCGGATAGGTGCCGCCAGGAGAATATGATGGATCGAGCTGTTATATTATATACTCTGCTCCACGCCATCGGGGGGGTATGCGCCCCCAGAGTAATCCTACGGGTATAGCGCATAACAGCCCACTACCCGTTCAAACGTACCCTCAACAATACCTGCGCGCGTCATATGTATGAGAGATATCATACGTATGTCCACTCAAGTCCTAAATGCCCTGTACCGTCAGCAAGGAACATCAAAACTTATATTTCATAGACCGCCAAAACAACCCAGCAGCACGGTCTTCCCCCTAGTAATCACCGAGAACGCGGAACAAATCTCCAAGGCTGCTTCATCATATACTTTCGGGGAAAAAAATGTCACCATCACTCAAACAGAATATATTCGACCCTTTTTCCTCACTCACCCGCTTTCCCATCTCGGGGACTAGAAATAGAATATATACAGCCAATCTTCCGATCTTTGCATCGCGAAGATAGATAAGAAAAACATGGGTATCATTCATGTCGTGGATTTGAAAAAAGGTATAAAAAATGAGGACAGTTTCGTGGAAAAAAACGGGGAGAAAAAACGGGGAGGGAAGGGGGGGGATGTTGAAAATAAAGAAAGCATAACATCGCTTTGTATGAAATATTAAAATATGCAGGTAGTACATGCCATCTGCATGGAAACAACGTCGACGAAATAGACTTCCCCTCCCTTTACACCCCCCCTCTCGTTTCCAGAGCACGAAATACCAAATAAATAAATAAATAAACCAATCCAACAAAGCCCATCTATGCCTGCCGTCAAACAAATCCGAAAAAAGTAAAGACAACCCGTCGTATCCGCATTAGGAAGCTCCAACTCCAACGCCGAAAGTCCCTTGATCTGTTTGTGCCCCGGAGGACTTTGTTCCAGTCCCGGTTGATCCCATGCTCCTTCCCCTTTCTCGCATTCGCCTTCCCTCCATCAGGCCCCTTAGGCCTCGCTTTTGTAGACCGATCACGCTGCTGACTCCGCCTCTCCATTCGTCTCCTGTGCCACCAGGGTTTTCCACTGGCTCACGCTTTCCACCGTTGCCACCACCAGCGGCCATGGCTGCAGCATTGAAGACTGCCGCGGCATTCCTACCATCGAGGACCTGGTGGAGGCGCTCGACCACAGCCTCTAAAAGGCCTTCTACCTGGTATGGTTGGGCGATTTGTAGGAGGGAACAGAGAATTTGTGGGGATGATTGAGGGTGGTTTGGCGGGGGAAGGGTAGATGTGTAGAGGTAGTGAACAAGAGTAACTAATGTCTGGAGGGTGTGTGGGAGATATAAAGTTCGTGGGCGATCCAATGGATTAAATTGCGCGGTTGTGGGAGGTTGTATTTCCGACTTTTGAGCCGACTGGGAAAGTGATTGTTGCGTTATTGTAGCGGCTGAGTTGTGGTTCTTCCCAGTTGGTGAAGGAAGTTCTTTGTTTGATGCATTCAGCAGCCCAAGGAAGTATGGCCCCCAGCGGCGAGCTACAATTCGCGAATTGACAGGAACACGCTCACCGCCGACAGCGAGAAATTCCATATCAGCCATTTCTTTCATGCCGAGTACCATCCTACCGAGCTCCTGCGCCGCAACAGAGCAGGAGCGTTGAAGGGACGAGCGAGAGTCCATTCTTGGATTCTCATATAAACCAAATGCTTCCAATTCAACCATGCACAGATGAGAGAAATTAATCCGGCGATGATTATAATCCTCCACTAGAGACCGATTCTTATTCCCCAATATCAAAAAGGCATTACGTTTACTCCATAGAATTCCCCTGTTCCATGATCCCTGGGCAAATGCTTGGCCCGCATCAATACGTGACCAGATAAGTGTTCGTAGATCCAAGGCCCAGAGAGCGTACTCCTGTTTGCTGCTCGTCAGGTAAGTGCCGCTGACGACAAAATGGTTATCCAGAACCCCGCCATTGGGAAACCGGAGACCGGGTGGCGAGAATTGCCCGTTCATGGGCCTCTCGGTAAGGGTGCCATCCGGTAGCCGAATCTGCAACTCGAGCTTGACATCCAGAAAGTTATAGTTTGAGTAGATCAACATAGCATTAGTTTCACTCGTCTGAACCTGAGAAGTAGACTGGCCATTTGCGGCGGCGGGGAAGGGCGGATTTTCTTCTGGACCCATGTACGGACTATTGCGCCCCGCTCCGATAGATGATGCGGTCAATCCCCGACCCAACGGCGCAACAACCGACCTATATGCCCCGCAAGACCTATCCAACGGTGTGGTTGATGTCCATTTCAAGGATCGAAGATTGAAAACGTTGATCTCCTCGATATAATGATTCGCAGAATCTTGACCGCCCACAATTACCATTTCCGCACCTCCAAAACCTTCAAGCCCAAGGCCCCCAACAAGGGGTGCGGCTACGCTGTTTGTGGATGTGAAAGTTGCACTTGTTGGGAGTATGGTCGCACAATGAGCATATCGCCCCTCCGGTGGGTTCAATGTAGGTATGTAAGTCCATGTTTGCGAGAGAATATCGTAGATGTGTATATCCGACATGACCATAACATCATTTTGTGAGTCTCCTCCGGGCGAAGTAGCAGTATTCCCATTTGTACCACTGGTTCCATTGGTTTGTGGAGGGCTGGTGGCCGCAGGCGACATGCCACCAAAACAGACTAGCTTCGTGCCCCCTAACGCACAGACACTGTGAAAATATCTCGGCCGTGGAATATCTCCTCTTGCTTCTAGTTTTGACCATGATCGAGTGATCAAATCGAGCGCATACATATCGCATGTTAGCTGGGACTTTGTCCGTGAAAGCAACCGACCACCAAATGCGTAGAGGGTATCGCCGATAATTGTTGTTGACGAGCCCACAAGTGGCGGCGGTTCCCGTCCGGACGTTTTGAGGATAGTTGCTACCAGCGAAGAGATGTTTTGGGAGGCCTGCGGCTGGGTTGTTGTAGGAGTCGAGGATCGAGGAGTATTGCTGTTACTGCTCGAGGCATTTTGCGGTGGGGCGGTTATGGAGGAAGTAGAGGCGGTCATCGTCGGGGGCATGTGTACGGAGGGCGAGGGGTTGTTAGAGGACGACATGACAGGAATAGTGGTCTGTCCGTTCGCTTCTAGACAAGGAGGGCAGATAGCTGGAATAAGGGAGATGCTGGCGTGAGTCGCGATGTGTGAACGTCTTAGGAGGGGACGGGGGGGTTGAGGGCAGAGACAACAAGGCGGCAGGTTTGAACCGTTGGAGGATAGGGAAGTGTGTAGGGACAGCCCCCAGGACAAAAACAGGATGCCGATGCACCGTATTCGCACAAGTATGTAGTGGACAGGGGATAGGGATTTTCTTCCTCTGCCACTTTCTTTTATATTTTTCGATCCCCCTAGTTTAACGTCCGTCGCACAGTCAGGGTAGGTGCTTGGCTTTCTATTAATGCTCCAATCAGAACTTGCGACCCAGGAAGCTGCAGAGAGGTAAGGAGAGAAATCATCTCATTCACCCTAGAGCACCAACGGGAGAGCTATCGCGGAAGAAATGCTCGAGTAGAGGAGACGCCGGTAGGTATTCTTGGTCTTGTGAAGACACCTAGACTCGAGTACTCGTACTGGTAACCTATGTGCCAGCCCCTTTTGTGAGGGAAGGCTCGCCTATGATACTAACGGCGCTATTCACTGTCGGCAAGTAAGCATTTGCAATTCCAGCAGTGGTGTTGGAGGGTGGTATTGACCTTTTCTATCTCCTCTCTGCCTCTTCCTCTTCTTCCCTCCTCCCCCTTCCCTTTTTACCGTTTTCCCCTTTCCTTCAGTTTTTTTTTCTCCCAATGATTTGTCACAATGTTCTGTCCGGACCCGGCTCCGTAGGCAGTACAAAGGCTACAGCTGCGCTCACAGTGCCTCGTTGCCACAAGATTGTGCGTCGTGATAGACGAAAGCCCTGAAATACCCTAAAAATCGTACTGGCACTGTATCATATATACAAGGACAGTCTGGGGAATCAATGTCAAGAGAAAACGAGTTCCTCTGCGTATTTACAAGCACAGTATCATACGTATAGCACATTACAGGATAGCACATGTATGGTGTAAGGATATTTAGAGGGCGAGCGGGTGAAGACCTCACAGTGAATTTCCCAATTAGCTGTTGGTCCTGGCCGAGAGGTTCTGGTGGTCTGAACACGGTTTAAAAATCCCACTAAAATCCATTTTGGGGGACCTTTGCACACCTCGCCCTCCAAGATTTCTTGCATTGTGTCTTTGCTAGATACTGTACCCCTCCACCCTCTCCATCCTTTTTCTCCTACAGGGCCGGAGCAAGTACGAGTACGGTACTCGAGTATGATACCTCTCCCCGTTTCTCACTTCCTTTCTCTTCCTCTTTTGCCCTTCGGGTCCTTCCCGATCTTTAACCCCCCCCACCACCACCACACAATCCTCCACCCCGCATTGCTCTTGCTCTTGCTCATCCCCCCCTCATATGTTCATTCAACCGGTATTACTCTTACTCTTACTCTCCGGCGCGGTAGACTATATTTCTTCTCCACCTTCTTCCGCCTCTGCCCAATACAGTATTGCTCAATGGGCGGCTACCGTACATGGCATGTCGTTGTTACATGTACGAGTACTCGAGTACTCTAGTATCATACCCCTTTTATTATAGCAGCACCCTTCTTAAAGTGCCGAAAATTGGGCGAATCGGATCAAACAGATAGATAGATTAGGTACAAGTACTCGTAGGAGCTTTGAAAAGTGATTATATCACATCTTTCTCTACAACTCGTTACAAGTACAGTACCGGTACCGGTACTTGTAGTCGTGGGGTGGAATTGTGTGTGGGTCCACAGCGAACAGGGAAGTGTGTGAACGGCAATACTACTACCGGTAACTCGAGTACCGGTACTGGTATGATTCTGTGTGGTCTGTACGAGTACTGTACTCGTACAGTACCACCTGTCCCTCCCACTCCCATCGCGGTTTGATTATCCTATTCCAGGCAAACCCCAGAGCCTTGAGCAGAGTTGCCCTCCCACATACCCGTTTCAAAGCCTCTAGAGTATATATCGAAGATCTCCCAACGATAATCACTATCGAAACCTGTGCGGCTCCCGTAACTCTTTTCGGAGTAGCGGAATCTAGCCGCTTCCTGGATGGTGTATCCTGCAGTGTTGATAGTGCCGAATTTCCCTACATCACGCTAAAGCGATACTAGTAGAATTAGTGTTTTTGTTTTATTGGTTGCGTCAACCTCAGAGATATGTAATACAATCACATGACCACAAATTCAGGTTAGAAACCATTGATGGATCAATGACTTCATCATTAATAATATACCCGGAATAAATATATGAATGTTGAACAACAGAATACTCCAAGTCTGTTAATGACATACAGCAAGCCATGCCCGGGCCACCTATTACAAGAACCTATAAGGGAAGAAGGAGTATCCGGAAAGCCACAGACGACCTTGAAAACCCAGCTTTACTCTTTACCCTTCAATCCTCTTCGGATATAAGGTACACTCAGTTTAGAGAGGATGCGGAAGGGGCTGCTTGTGCTGGGATAAGACATAATAATGGCAGGGAAGATGTCCGTGGAGTAGAGGATACCGGGAGAGATGTGGACAAGGATGCTGGAAGGGGTCACAGGAAGGGTATTGGACTTGGATATAATATGCGGTTAGGTTTTCTGCAGGAGTTGAATGATGCAGGAAGGGATATGGGAGAGAGAGTTGAAAGGAGAGGAGGAGGAGATCATGCAAGACTGGAGAATGATATTAGTACAGGTGTCAGGGAAGATTTGGGAACGAATATCTCAAAGAACCGGGAGGAGTTTGGCAAAGAGGCGGTTGAAAAGGACTTGAAGAAAGGGAAGAGTGCAGGAGAAGCTTTCAATACGTTCCGAGTAGAGGAAGATTGTGAGGACAATAGTGATACCGATCACAATAGGAGCGATGAGTTACTGGGTATAGCGTTTCAGGAAAACCTCCACACGAGTACCAATAATCTGCAACGTACTCAAGAAGCCTAGAGAGCAGTCCGAGCAGCCATGCAAAAATGCCAGAGACAGTTAAGAGAAAAACCATTTCAATTGGATGCTTACGAACCGATCTTGGTTGAATCCAGAAACATAATTCCCACTTTGCCTATCCAGTTTAATCCCAATTCTGTAAGTATTCCTATATCATATACCATGCCAGTGCTTATAAGAATAAATACTAAAAGCAAAAAAGCAATGTATTAACTTATTGTTAGTTGTCCCCATTAAAATGGTTTTCCTTATTTTGGAGGAATAATGACTGGCATCAAATTGTACAGAGCACGAACCTGTATGCAGAAAAGAAAATCGAAGAGGAGGAGTATCAAGGACCTCGAACTCATAACCCGCATAGACGAAAATGGAAACCGGTTACGATTTCGGAAATTAAACAGTTTTTTGCCATTTCGATTGTGATTGGTGTTTACAAATACACCTCTCCGTTAGACTTCTGGAGGAATAATGGAAATCGAAAGCTACCAGGTACCTTTGGAAGTCAGGGCTGGGATTCATCATGCCATCGATTGTCACTTGTCCGGTATCAGCAGATTAAACGATACTTTCACGTCTATGAGCCACAAGATACTGCCCTTCCTTTACAAGACTGGTTCAAAAAGGTTGAGCCAGTTAATAGTAATATCCGGCGCCGTAGTAAAGAGCTTTGTGTTCCTGGGCCAATTATGACAGCCGATGAGATGATGATTAGGTATTTTGGACGGTCTAAACATACAACTAAAATGCCAAAAAAGCCAATAAAGAAAGGCTATAAGGTAATTCACAATCAATTTTGTCTTTAATACTAGTAGGGTATTTGAAAATTATCATAACTAATACTATCTTACAACTTAAATAGGTCTTTGCTTTATGTATGCAGTCTGGATATACTTGGGACTAGCGGTTTTCATCAAATTCAGTAGGTATTACAGAATTGGATGCCGATGATACACTTCCACCCACTCAGCGGGTTGTGTATCAACTAGCACAAACTCTTCCCTATGAGCGCTATGGGTTTCATATTTATATAGATAACCTATTCACAACTACTCCTTTACTTGTCAAACTTAGAACTTTGGGAATAGGAGCTTGTGGAACTACACGCCGTTATCCAGCAGATTTAGAGGTTGATGGAAATAATCTTCCATGGAATACAGTTAGCGGAGGCCTGACTGCGAACAAGCAGGTCTTAGCGCTTCAATGGGAGGATCAGAAGTCTGTCAAATGCCTAACTACAATCCATAGACTTGAGGATAATGTGGAAAAGCAGCGTAAGAGGCCACGTGTAACAAGTACTCGTGGTCGATCGATTCGAAACGTCTTTGGAGACCGAGAACGTATAGAGGTTCCCATTCCTACGACAATTAATGACTATAACCATGGAAAGGTTGGAGTAGACCTAGCAGATCAGTATCGTGCATCCTACTTCACTTAGCCTACAACCCGTCGAAATTGGCCTCCTCTTCTCTTTTGGCTTCTTGATATTACTATTATCAATTCCTTCCTTCTTCTAACAAATCATCCTCATCATTGTCAGACTTGGTCCTCTGGCCGCCGGAAGAGAACCATTTCGCATAAGGATTACCGCCTGGAGCTTGCTTGTGAGCTTGCCACAGAAGCTCAGTCAGAGTGTGGATTTGGTGGCCGAAAACGCTTGGGAACACGGTACAAATCTCAGCTCTATCAGCGATCAAAAGCTCGCCTTTGCTACAGTAAACAGCGTGGAATTACATCCTTTCCCTTATGCTCTACTGTGGATGGGCACCATGTACGAGCAACTGCAATGTCAATCAGAGAATGTGTGTCATGTCGATTCCGCATGCGTAATGATGGACAAAGAGGACGAGCAAAATCTACGCGCCTATGGTGCACATTTTGTCATCTTCATATTTGTTCTGAGTGCTTTACCAGTCAATGATCATGCAATTGTTTTAACCTCCGAGTCATCACTTCCGAGTCTGTAGTGAGTCTTGTATTGACTAAGAAAAAATGTAACTGGATCTGAATAGTTTTGATACTACTTGATTCCCAATTTGGGAAAAGTGAAGAACTAGTTTTTTAGTTTATATTTTAGCGTGATGTAGGGAAATTCGGCACTATCAACACTGCAGGGGATAGTCGAGTACGAGTACGAGTACTACCGTGGCACTTATACGTGCTTCGGCCCGTTCAGGGTCCGAATTATGACGGTATCATGTCAGATGTACTATCATGCCACAGTCAGATCGGATATCATCAACTACCGGTATCTCACGCATATAACTCATCAGCCCTAACTTGATATATCAAGCCGAAACCCCACAAAATCCGACCTGGACTACAGCACCCAAATAACCGTAACATCGTGACATGACGTCCGCAAAGACAGGCTACTATCATGCTATTGCATCAAACAACCAAAAATTGGCCGGAGCCTCAGAATCTTGGTGGCATGAATGAAAAAGTGGCTGTCCGTTTCGCAGGCGTCGGCATGGGACGGTAACGGTGTAATGCACTGGGTTGGATTCCGATACGCTTCGGATCTTATCTCCTGGACCGCTGAGAGGGCGGAAAGGTTTGGAAAACCCCCCCCGTCAAGTGTCTGAGATGGAGATAGATGGTTAAGGTACCAGTACCACCTCCGTATACATATACATATACATATATATATATATTTAGTGGTTGCGGGCGTAAGTGGTGTACTTTTACGATCTTATAGCTAATCCCGGTACATACTGGCTATGGTCTGAAAGTCGTATTATATATCATACCCCTACAAAGTCGCGTGAATTATCATCAACGGTCCTTGACACCGACAGGGATCGACATGAAAAATTTCCCACCACTTTGGCAGTCTAGGAGATATCGTTAGATTTATTTATTCATTGTGAACCCACGAGTACTCCGAGCTTGCGGTGGGGGGGGAGGGGGGTAAATGGTGTGCTGACGGTAATTACTGAACCGTCAACGCCATGATAAATCACTTCACCCCGAATTACACGAGGACTCCGTGGTTGGGCGCCTCTGTGGCTAATAGGCTAGCTGCATGGCTCTAGGCGTAAATCTAGGGAGCTGAAAATCTCGCACGGTAGACTTACAGTATCATACTGTACATCAAGACCGTTTCCAACGACTCCACCCGTGTACGAGTAAGAGTTTCCCTTCCTCCTCCTACCCTAAGTGCTCCTCATCCAATTACACGACCTGACTTGCATACCGTTACTCTTTCTTTCTTTCCCTCTCCTTTCCATCCCACATCCCCGCTTTGTACAACGCCGTGCCACAGCCCTTCTAGAGCACTAGTAAGCGTAAAAGCGGACTAAAGCTTGCATCGTCGGGCGCGGCAAGTCGAAGACGCTCTTGGCGCAGGAAACAGGGAGGGGGTGTGTTGGAAGATCCGCTTCCACATGACATGGCAATATGATACGTAAAGAAAAACGGAGCCTCCCCCCAGTTCTGACACTACGGCTGCCAGTACTCCTGCGGTGAATCGATCGGCAATGACGGGATCGCAAATCTAAAACACCTTCAAACGAAAATGGTATACCATGCAAACTCTAAAATTTCTGGCCAAAAGGAGGTGGGAGGGGTAATGGTAGCTGCGGCAAGCCGAGTGAGAATTGGTGAGTTGATGTATTTTTTACAGGATTGTTTTGTGCTTGGGACCGCTTTCACTGAGTTATCTCATTTACTTGGTTTAAAGCAAGTATATTGCGATTTGAACTACTTTCGTAAAACTTGTTTCGGCAGCCTTTGGCTCCAAGGAAGTACATAAGAGATAAGATTCAACCGCCGAACGATATGTCCCCGAGGCATCTATACCTCGGCCAGTCTTTTGGCACAACTTAATAGGGATCTTGCGCTCCGAGTCCGCCGCGATTCTTGTGAGGCTCGGTCGCACCAAAATGGATCTTTTCGTTGATGATCTTGGGGGCCGATAAGAATTCCCCACCGTCGATGGGTAGCCTGCTGGTCGGGTAAAGCAGGACAAAGCTCTTGACACCAATAAATAGATTGTCCGGATTCTCCTGAATCTCATGAGACGTAAGTTCGGTTTTGTCATTTTGCTATATAATATTATATTGTCAGCGTCCGTGGGCAACATAGCGAGAGTGCTGCTGGAACGGGCTTGCCTTAAGGATCCTCCACTTCAAATTCTTCGCCAGCCACTCTTCGATCTCGTCTTGGTCGTCCAAAGTAAGGCCGATGTTAGCCAACTTATTATAGAGGGCGTTGGTTATATCTACACCTCCAGAGAACAACTGGTCCGCTGCTCCCTGGCCCGCGCAATTCCCGCAAATGTCTGTCGAGCTTTTGAATGTGTTAACCGCACCTACGTGGTTTTCGCTCAGGAGCCACTGGCGTGGATCATCTCCAGGTTCGCCCAGGAAGAAGAATATGATAAAGTTCCCGGGGATGAGGTACTTCCTGACACGCAGGAAGATCAACCATTCGCGACGGAACATTCCATCCCCTGTTTCACGTGCGTGGTTAGGATGTGCAAGGTTACATGTGGTTTTGTATGGGTAACATACTGACTATACGGCTAGGAGGGAGGAGAGCGTTGGGGACCTTGGGGGTGTCGACCAATGATTCATCTGTGGGAGGGCCATATAGTTGATGGACCCGCCTGAGGACATGGGATGCCATTTCCTTTTGCTTTCCAGGGCCGGACAGGTCAACTGGGAGTTCCGGGTAATGGTAATTATAGTCGAAGACACTGACAATGTTAACTTTCGAGATTACCATCAGGGAGCGGCCGCCTAAATTCACGGGACTTACGTTGGCCCGGTAGCCGCGCTAGACTTTTGAACCATGCTACTCGTCCAAGGGACGTCATAACACTCGTCCTTATAAAAAGGACGGAGAGTAGTCTCGGCATCATCGATAGCTTTAGTGAGAGGCATACGGGTGTAATCAGTAGCCTGGTCCTCAAATGGTGCTTCATAGTGAATCGCTTGCCAAATCGCATACAGGCGATCAACATTGCAGTGGCTATTGCAAGTTAGCTTCTTGTGTCATGGGTCGGGTTGGTTGGGGTGAGCTTACTGCAGCCTGTTTGAGATGAGGTGTTAGAGATGGGTCAGGGCCTTCGTCTCTGCTATGCTACCAGGACAGGGACTCACCAGAAAATAGGGTCAAAGGCGGACACGCCCACTTCTGACATGTGGCCCTCCTTGGAATTCTCCTCTATATAGTTCGTCCCAGTGAAGGCTGAGATTACACAAAGTGAGTGCCTCCGTTATCCACCGAATTACACGGACCAAACCTACTGTGAATGATATTGTGATAGTGCTCCAACGAAATATTATTGGGTCCAGGACGACCAGTCTGCCAACCGGTATTACCGAAAGCCCCATACGATCCAACCAACGTCAATAGCTTATATATAGGATCGCGGAAGCTAGAACCACTAGTATAATTAGTATTAATCAAAAATAGTCAAAGAGCTAACTCACGCGGTAGGATTAACTGTTGGGATTCTAAGTTGCCGATCTACGATTTCGGGGTGACTGATCCCTTTTTCATCGGGGCATCTCTTCGTCTCTTCCCAGGCAACCATCTACCTCAAATCAGCCAGTGCCAATCGCTATCGATGAACGAGACATACCTCCTGAACACCGACGATGGAAAAGTCTCGTTGCCTCCTAATGCTTGTCTTGAATTTGTACGAATACATAGGGTTGGGCACACCCTTCCGGGTGACGGGCGGAGCATCAGATCCAACCTCCGGAAGTGTTATATCCGTCTCCGCGAACCTGATGCTCTGCGGAACATCCGAGTCGGTTGCCCAGTCCCAGTACCTATCAATGTTAGACTGATATGATACTATACTACCCCAACGGAGGGAGGGGGGCGACGTACGGGATTCTAATGTTCAAAGCGGCTTCCTCATACTCTGCGCGGTATTTATCGCTAAAGTTTCTAGCGATTGTGAGAGCTTCTTCCACGATACGTTGCTACAAATCCTCAGCTCCCGTAAGGCTTCAGTAATGGGAGATGCCAAGTTACTTACTTCAAAGAGTAAAAGATAAGGACGATGCCAGGTAAGGAATAAGGCACTATCTGGCAGATTAGTACGCTCTAACTTGAACTACGAAGAACTATAACCCACGTTCCATGAGTGCAGTAATCGCCCGCCCTATCATCCGCATCTGCCTTCTCCATCCATGGTATATAGGGCGTCCCATGAACACCTTTTTCAAGTCAGAATCCACACATCATCAACGGAAGGAATTCCAGCGTACCTGCAACTTGATAATATCCAAGAGGGCTATGCGTATCCTCTCCCTGCGACTGGAGGTTTATCAACGCCTGGAGGAACAGGTTCCACTGAAGTGGATCCTGGGCGAAGTCATTGATATTGCGTCTCGGTCGGGGCGCTTGACTTGCGACACCCGTAATGGGGTAGGTTTTCATTGTCATGACTAGCGAGTTTTCAGTGATTGATTGATGTTGGATATCGAGCCTACTGTTTCGCTACTATCTAGTCAAGCTTGTCGGAAGGGTGGGTTTATATAGGGGTCCCCCCCCCCTCCCCCCGCAAATTGCACAGCACCACAAATACCATACCCGTCGTGAATGTCATTCGTGATATTCGTTTGTGAAAGGGAGTGGAAAATCCATTTGTGGTGACACGGGGAGCGCTGGTGATTTCTGCTCAGCTCTAAATTACGGCTGAACTTTTGGGTGTTCTTTCCATTTTGCGGAGCTTCGTCATGTAAAATGAATATGCGCGGAACCGCCTCCACGAATATCCCACAGGGATAGAGCACCCACCTCCATCTTGTGATCACGTCTGTCAGCTTTGGGGTGTTTCAAACCAGTCTGATTGCGCTTCTCGTAATACCGAGTAGCTTTTCTGAACTAGGGAGCCCAAGTGTCGGAGTCTGTGGAAAATCGCTTGGACTGTTTCAACGGCGAAACTACGCTACGAGTACATGCTGTGTTCACACTTGAGATCTAGCGGTTTGTCCAAGTTGTGGGATTTTAACAACTAGCGGGAAAGGAAAGAGGAAAGCACCCAAATAAGAGACCTTCTCCGCTAGAGAGTGGGGGAATCTTCACTAAAACAAAGAGCCCAAACAAGCCAAAACCACAGCTCTAACTATTCCACCATTCACAAATTCAAACAGAAGATTATCATGAAATAGAAGGAAAGGCCTAGGCTCTTACATCATACAGTCAAATAAGCACATCCACACCTCCCCTCACAAACCCCACCCATGATGAAACGCTCGCGGGTAGCCAGCCCTACTCGGGCACAGTACAGGACAAACAAAATTTCCTCACCCCATGTGTATGATAGCAAAAACTTGTAAAACCTCGAACCCAGCCAAAGTGTAGGGGTAAGCTTCCCCGCACTCAGCATGCAGTGAGACCACTTCTTTTTTCTTTCTCCTTATCTTTTTTATTTCCCCTCCCTCTCCCCCGCTTCCGCTCCTACCTTGCTGTCTCTTAACCGCACTATAATTGCACGATGTTCATAAAGTGGACTGCAACCGCATACAGACAAAGATCCACCCAGAGCCTCAGAGCTTTGGTGGTGTGCAATAACAACCAACCTCACAAATGTCGGGTGATCGCGGTCAAACTTGAAGTACGGGTATGGGGGAATTGCAGAGATAATGTAATGACACAAATGCGGTTGCTGTGCACCTCAACTTACCTGTGCAGCACGGCACTGCAGTGGAGCGTCCCTTCCCGATGCCGTCCGCCACGCGCCGCTGTTATGTGGGAGTTTAGGCGACCACCACAGGACCACGCTACAAGAAACCAAACTGGGTGATGCTCCTTGAGTGTGAGCTGGAATAGGGATGCTGTGTCCATACCTGCCTTTCCTGAGCCTTCTCCTCAAGGATCGGCCACGACGCATCCATTATGATGTCATGTTTTCCAATGGAAACAACTGTTGTGGTGCCGTCGCCGAAAAGACTTAGGTCAAGCCTTTCACGAGTGATTGTGTATGACGCGACTTGACATCAGAGTTGTAAATGCTGAGCACTGATTGATAGGGCTGAGAGCATTTCTTATGCGCCCTTGCTAGGTGCTAGACCTCTATTTACCGCGATATTATATTATAATAATATTAATAATATTATTTTATCATAATATCATATCATACTTAAAAATCCTTTGTTCAATCCCTACTCCTCTCCAACTGCAGGTAGAGAGCACCCCACCAAAAAAACACTAATATCATCGATTGTATCATAAATGACATCTTGCCCCCCAGCCCACTTCACCCTTGAGGCAGCCCCCACGAGATCACCATCTCTTTGTCATGTTGCAGGGGGTATGTCGTGTTTATCTCTGTCAATTATTTTCAGAAGATGTGCTATAGCAAGAGGTAGAGGGGGGGTACCGACCCCCTTATCCTCCACCGAAACACTCAAACCAAAAAATCGCCAGTGGTTACGAACAGCCCGTGCCCGCCCCTGGCTCCAACCCAAAAAAATGACAGAACCTCTCCTCTTTCCGGGGGTGGGGGTGGTCCCGCCGCGGCTTAGGCACGTACGCCGGTGCATAGCCTCGACATTCGCTAGGCGTTACAAACCCTCTGCCTGTTCTTGGCCATGTGCTCCAAGTGCAGCCCTTCGGGAACCCGGGCATTCTATAGACATTCAGGTGGTGATTCTTCAGTGCCTTGGTTGGCTCCCTTCGTCGCTCTCACTACCCCCCATGCTCCGACGGGCCCTCCAACCGACACACTGATTTGGCCTAATAGCAGAATCCCTCAAACAGGGTTGTGGTAGAAGTGCAGGTGATGAGGTCCCCGCGATTAGCATCAGCAGCAAATAATATGTTCTCGAGAAACGAATCTGTAGATTTCCCCTCACTGTCTGCCAACACCATGACCCCCTCAAGCTTAGAGGGGTGCTTGGAACGCCAACAGAGGACTCGTTGCACGGCTCGGAAGGGTTTGAGGGGGTGCCGTTGCGATATGGTTATAGGGAGGGAATGATACCAGTAACTTCTTGTGGTGTCTAAAAATTTCGTCCTCTTGTATGGCTAGGTTTTAGTTGATGTCTGTTAATATGATGTACAGCGTCCCTCCTCGCGAATGGAGCAATCCGGCGCGAAAATTCAAAGAGATCATGATTGGTAGGAATCATAACGTTACAAGTGGAGCCAACTCTAGAGTGCTGTCGTGAATGACAAAATATCATACCCAGACAGGTTCCAGCGGAAGGTTTGGCTTTGCTGCAACTGCCGGACGAATCTCATGTCTTCTGCCGGTGGTAGCTATTCACGCTTGACCTTTTTCGAGAAACCATCGTTTGCATTGCCATCAGTGGCGCAGAAAATTTGTTGGTAAATGGCCATCCCTACATACCAACTCGGTGATTTTGGTGGTAGAGAATTTGTGCAGTATTCATGCCTTGCCGCAGTTCTTTTTTTATTTCTTTCTTCAGATTGAGGGAGGCAAAAAAAGATGTTTTTGTTATTCCTACCCTCATTCCTTTCCCCACCTCCCCCGTTTCTCCTGATATCATACCCCTCCGATCGCGGACCCCACCGGTTTTATCAAGACTTTAAGCTTGCAGAAATTTGATATATGATACAGTAAAATGCTACATATGGCCAACTATTAGTAGCGACTAAATACTCAGGCTACCCTTTACTTTAATTAATTAGCATAACAAAAGCCAGTTGTACAGTACAGGATACTGACTTCTCTTGAAATGAAATTTAAAATTACTATCTGAATTATTTATAATTTCAATACATACTAGTAAAAGATAGTCTGTATATGTACTTGTTAGAATAGTAACTAGAGTTTTGATTTTAGTATTATGCTATTCTTAAACTCTAACATAAAGAATATATCCAATAGTATAATAATAATATTATTATCATATTATGGAATTTCAACCTCTTCATGACTAATTACCTAGCATGACTGGTTACCTAATATCACACTAGGCAGGGAAAAAAGAAAAAAAAATCTAGATTAAAATAGTAGTTTTTTATTTTTCTATAATAATATTATTATATATTTCGCTCGAGGTCAAGGATACTACAGTATTCAATATATCATTACTGTACAGGCAATGCTTTCCAAAATGGAAATGTGGGCAACATTTTTTTCCTCCCTTTTGACAACGACGGTTAATCGTTTCCATTGGTGACATCCCTTAGAAAACTCCAGGCCACAGGAAAACTTTAGCCCCCTCAAAATATCACATGCATGTACGAGTATACCGGTGAGGGTTTGTGAGTCAGTAAGAGGGTAAGATGGGGTGTTCACTCCATAGAATTGCTTGTCACAGAAGGGGGCGAGTCTTGGAGGGAAAATTTGTCCTCTTAAGCACTCCCCATCTTCCTACCTTAGTTTAGTCAAGCCACCTGCAGAGAACAACGCAACAGACAACACTTCTACCCTTACTTGATTGGGTCCACTCCTGTTTTAATTGGCCAAAACTACATTATCACGGCTTCTTGAAACACTAATTTGTTTACAAAGATACGAACTTTCGATTTCCTGGGACTGCTTTCTTTGAGTATAGTGCAAATGAGGTCAAACCGGGACCTCAAAATAGGCCAAATACGATCTGGGACTAGTCCACCAAAACATGGAATTTTGATAAAAAAAAACCACTACAATGAAGGCACTTCCAAGGAGAACAGGGTAGTGGTTTTTCTTTCTTAATTAAGTATTCATGGCAAGAGGAGTCCCAAAATAAAAAGTGAAAAATTTGGTAAGAGTAAAACAGGGGACCAAATATACCTAGTAGCATGCTGAAATATAGTGTGAGGTATTGATGAGTGAGAATTGATGAGTATGGGTAAAGGGGGCATTAGAGACCAGCCATGTAAGATAACAATAGTAACCACAACAGTACTCTATACTCAGAGTCACATCACAATTCAGATGCTCCCACTAAACAAGAAACGAAAGCATATGCAAATGATTGCCCCTCAAGGAGGATGACCAAAAAAGGCTTGCAATATTCCGCATTTAGGCATCAAGCCTACTAGTACATGTGAGGCTCTGGCTGAGGAGTCTCTCATTGAAAATTCGGAGGCTGAAGAGAGCCGGTTGAGTCTTGATAATGAAGAGGAAGAGGTAGCCACATCAGGTACATGCAATTCGCATAGGACTAAGAGGCTCTCTAGAAGTACTTTGTGGTGTAGAGCATATAAAGAGAAAGAGCAAGAGAGACAAAGGGAGATGGGGAGAGAAAATATTGAGGATATTTGGGAGGATATTGAACGGCAGGTGGAGGAGAAATGGCCAAGAGTCAGTAAGGATATACGAGTAACTGTGATCAAAAAGGATATGATTTTTGCTATTAAGAGTGGTAATTAATACTAAAATAAAAATGGAAAATTAGGAGTGGTAGATATCCAAGCAGTACTGAGACGTAAAAAGAAAATTGCATACTCATTGCAAGACCTAGAACGATACTTCCAAGTTCTCCAATTTATGAACTGGCAGCTCAAGTATCCTGATCTGCTAAGGAAGAAA